CATTGACCAGTATTTGTGGTAAAATATCAACAACGGAGGTCCAAATATTCAGTACCGAACAGTTTTCTTGGACTTGAACAATTTTTGGTCATAAGCTGGCGTACTCTAAAGGCATTATTCATTATATAATTGTTTATTAATTGTTTCTTCAATTCTACACTGGCTTTTGTCTAAAAATTTTTTAAGTTTATATTTGAGTTTTATTGTCGCTAAGCCTTTCTTCGCATTAAACTGCTGTCTTAAAGGAATATTGATTTTTGCTTTCGCGACCTTAAATAACTGCCGCTATATTACTGAAATACCCCGTTAAGTGAAAGCTATGGCTAAACCAAAGACATTGTTGTTATTCAATTGCAAATGAACTTCACGCTAGAACAATGCGACCAAGGAAATACTGCATCAAGGGAAAAATGAGAATTAAAGAACGAAATGAGTGGAGTGGCACTAGGTCGCTAAGCATAACGAAGCTAGAAGCAGAAACGAAAAAATGCACGAAAAGCAAAAACAAAAAAAAAGAAAAAAAAAAACAACAACAAAGAACTCTTGCAAAGTAACTTAAGTAACAGCGTGAAACTAGAGCTTGTAGAAAGATACTAAAAAAGTACTACAATTACTACTGTGTAGAAAGAACTTGAAAGTATGAAAGTAAAAAATAACAAAWATTAAGATACAATTCTTATTAATAGTTGTTGCACAAAAACATTACACGCTTTTTTCAATGCTACGCACACACACATACTCGGCACTCACAAACACACATACTAACTTTAAACGCGTGCGCTACTTAAGGCTAGTATTTGGTGGCTAAGCACGGGGCGCGCCACACTTTACCTCGACACTTGAGCCCCTTATGGGTGATGCCGTGCAGCAGCRAGCCGCAATGATCGCAAAACATCGGSGACAGGAARGAGATATGCTGCCATTTGTGCGGCATCTGATGGGCCTGGGAATAGGTGAGAAAACTGATGGAAAATTAACATAAAGCTTAGCGGTAGTATTTGCAGTTAGAAACTAAATTATTGGAAAATACTTAGCGATAAGAAATAATACATAGCCAGAGGGAGAAATTAGAAAGAGAATATAATAGAGTAAAAATGAAGATAAAATAAAAACCAGGTGATAGTAGAAGAGCGATAGATGGTGAGAAAGAAGGTAAAAGAGCGAAGAAAAAGTAAAGATAATAAAGAATATTCGATTATTCATGAGACAATGCGGTTTTCGTGAGCATCTAAACCAGCCTCGGGTTAGCGAGTTGCCATATTTAAATGAATGTATGCAGCGTAAATGTTTTCAAGACGATGCGGTGAATGATTGCAAGCTAAATTATTATTTTTTTTAATATGAAATATACAGACATATATATTTGTCTTACATTAGGCTCTTGTCAGTTTTTGTTATTTTTAATTTATTTCTTCCACCTTGCCTTTCGCTCGAAAACATGACAGGTGTTTCAATGTTTTCTTTTTATGTTAATATATCTATTTATATATGTGTGCGTGCCTTTATCTTACATTCTATTT